GAGAGAGAGAGAGAGAGAGAGAGAGAGAGAGAGAGAGAGAGAGAGGTATAAAGAGAACACTAATCATTGATTGATTGATTCAAACATTATTTAGTCTATCGATTAATCATTTCTAATTTGTTCTCTTACGTCCATATTTCGCTTCTCTTTTTAACTTTCCCTGTAATTCCACAGCGTAATTTAACACGTACTAATTCACACTACTAACGTTTGTTTTTATTAAATCTACATACACGTGATTTAATGTTTCCTTTAGCTCACAAATGGCCAATGATGATTTTAAAAATGCCAGTTAAATATTTGTAATCAAGGTATTAATTTAGGCCTGATGTTGTTGATGTTTCTTGTGCTTTACAACTGGCCATCCTCTGGTCACTTCTGTCCACTGTCTTCTGACCCAACCAGTTTGAAAAGCAGTCCGTCTAATCGTGTGTAGGAAACGGCTTTCAGCAGCTCTTAACTCTTCTCGTCAGAAAATATTGACATTTCCTCCTCTGCCAGTGTAATTATAGTCTTTAAGCCTTGTCAGAGCAAATAGCCATGACAGCATGCAGCAGAGAATGGCTTCTTCGACCCAAACACTTGCTAATGGTCATGTAAACACAGGTCCTCTTACCCACTGTGGACTTGACTTCTGTTTTTTTTCTTTTTCATTCAACCTTTATTTATAAAAGTTAATCCTATTTTACAAGAGATACCTGTTTGCTTTGGTAAGTCAGAATAGAAGAGTCATCTTTGTGTTCTACTGCTTGAAAGTGAGCGAGTACAAACACGGTCTTTAACCTTTTAGGGTAGTTATCTTTCCACTGTGGCACAAATCTGATGTAGTAGCATAACATTTGGTTTTGGATTGTGGATAAACACATTAGCAAATAAAACATAGTGTTGGAAAATTAAGCATTATTTTCTCTTGCTTGCTGACCTTTATTCTTATTTTCTAGAATAAATCTCTACCTCTTCAGACTCTCTTCCACCTGCTCCCTACTTCTCACTACAGAGAACAGTGCTGTCACTCTCATAAAAATATAATGCTTTTTTTTTTTCATTTCCACATATTTAATTTAAAACAGCTTCTAACACAGGTGCCGATTAAGTCATATTAATTAGTGGGCGTGGTCTGAGAACTTTGTGTCGTTCGTAAATAAACCTGTGAACTTCATGTATGTGATTTCCACATGTGAGTTATGCGAAACTCGTTCTGTACATGTTTCTTGTATGATTTAGAAAAAAAGGTAATACCTAAGTTTTCCATTTAAACTTTTTTAAGTCACTTCGGCTCTTCAAACAAACAAATGCTGTGGTCAGACTTCGGTCACAAATTTTGCACACAAAATATTAGTCCAGGACACGTTACCTATCGATATGAGGAAAATATTGTGTGAATTTTGTTGCTTCATGATTTTTTTCTTGTCTGCTCTTCAGGATTTTGTAATAAACTTTAACTGCAAATTACAGAAATGGTTTATTAATACTGTATTATTACTGTTATTTCTATTATTATTTGCTATTCATGTATTGGAGAGATATTCAGGTGCATCTATAAAAACATAGAATATCATAAAAATGTTCAATTATTCTTGCCAATCATTTCAGAAAGTGAAAGTCATATATTATGTAGATTCATTAAACAGTGAAATATTTCGAGTCTTTATTTCTTGTAATTGTGATGATTATGGCTTACAGATATGAAAAAACAAAATTCAGTGTCTCAGAAAATTAGAATATTATAAACTCCTGGTGTCACACCCTGATCAGCTGATGAACTCCTAGACATGAGCTACAAATGTCTCATTCCTTAAGTCCAGCCACTCCTGAACCAGAGACAACAGCAGAAGTGTCTTACCTGCTGAGAAGAAGAAGAACTGGACTGTTGCTTGGTGGTCCAACGTCCTCTTTTCAGATGAAAGTCAATTTTTGTGAATCAAGATCCCAGAGTCTGGAGGAAGGTCCAGAATCCACGTTGCTTGAAGTCCAGAGTGAAGTTTCCACAGTCAGTGATGGTTTGGGTCCTTGGCTTCTGCTGGTGTTGGTCAAGTTCAAGTTGTGTTTTTTTGGTTAACAGTACAATGAAAAGCTCAGGGTGAGAAGAACCGATTCATTGGTCGACTGTGTTTTCTGAAGTCCAGTCAACGCAACCTCTACCAGGACATTATAGAGACTTCATGCTTCTGTCTGCTGACGAGCTTTATGGAGATGATTTCATTTTCCAGCATGAGTTGTCTCCTGACACACTGACAAAGGAACCAAAAGCTGGAATATTCTGATTTACTGAGAAACTGAATTTTAATTATCTGTAAGCCATAATCATCTAACTTATAAGAAATAAAGGCTTGAAAAATTTCACTCTATGTGTAATGAATCGTTATAATATATGAGTTTCACTTTGTGAAATTACAAAAAAGAAATTTCAACAATGTTCTAATTTTTTTAGATGCACCTGCAATTTACGCTGAGAACACCGTCTGTAGTGTGGTCACTGTGTTGAAATAATGCTAGTTGTCAGTGTGTTGTTTGTAACAGGCATGATGTCACGTCTAAATGTGTTGATTTAACCCCTCAGTCCATCCTAATCACACCTTCTGCCTCCATTGTCTAAAAGTACGGTGTCTTCCACATCAGCTCCTTTGTCTTCCCACCTACTTCCTGTGTCTCCTGGAGTCAACAAAGTGTGTTTGTACAGGCGTTTCATGTGTGTGTGTGTGTGTGTGTGTGTGTGTGTTCACAGGAAACGATGGTTGAGTCAAAGTTTAGTTCACTTCTTGGCTTCCCAGGTTTTTATTTATTACCCATTCATGCTGCACTCTACTAGATCTATACAAAGAATAATCAGAGCTTTATCACATTCATTCACAGATGGACACACATTGGAGGCAGTGAGGGGTTCAGTGTCTTGCCCAGGGACACTTCGGCATATGACTGCTGGTGGATTTGAACCCCCAACTCTTGCACTGGAGGACAACTGCTCCAACTACTCAGCCACAGCCACCATAAAAATTGTATTGTATTGTAAATTTATTCATTTCATATAAAAACAATGACAATTTTTAGAAAGAAAAAAATTAAACAAAAAACCTAAAATGAAAGGAAACAGAAGAAGAAAACATTTCTTATTATATCTGCTCCCTATTAAACAATCAAATTCAAACAATCAATTCAAACATTAGTTTGCTTATTGTAATACAAAAGAATAGTCTCATCAAAATACCTTTATAATTTGTTAAATTAGAAACAACTAAATATAATTCTTTAACAAAATAGTTTTAACCATTTTCCTAAATGTTAGTATTGACTTCGCTTTTTTTACATTGTCCTCCAAACCATTCCAAAGATCAATTCCTCTTATTGTAGTAGATCTACCCTTTAAACTTGTTCTGTACTTAGGTTTAACAAACATTTATATTCCCTTTAAATTATAACTACTGGTCCTTTTCACAAAATAGTTCTGAATGTGTGATGGTAGTGAGTAATTCTGAGCTCTAAACATAAGTAAAAGAATATTATAATCAACCAAATCATAAAACTTAAGTAATTTCAATTGACAAAATAGAGTACCAGAAGGATGACAATAATTTTTCCTCATTATAATTCTTACAGCTTTTTTTTGCAAAATAAAAATAGGCTTAGTTGTTGTCTTACATGCTGTACCCCAAACATTTACACAATAAATTAAATGCGGAACTATAATTGTATTATAGAGCAAGTACAAAGCCTTATTATTTAACAAGTCCCTTACACTAGATTACCATTTAAAATAGATTACCATTTATAAATTTATATATATATATATATATAAATATATATATATATATATATATATATAGTATGTATGTGTGTGTGTGTGTGTATATATGTGATCGGTACATTCAACATCAAAAATGTTGAGGTGGGGTAGGTGAAGCACCCACACATGCCCCCACCCTCATTTGCCCCACACTGGGCCCTTGAGCAAGGCCCTTAACCCCCACCACCTGCTCCTCCGGGTGTCCTAGATAGCAGCTCTCTGCTCCACACAGAGGGCTGTGGTAGCTCACTTTACTTTTAAAAAGTAAATAATGTGTAAAATCATATGTCAAAACAAACTTTTAAGCTACAAATGATCTCAACACTCACATGCAGGTCACACACTGACAACTGTTAGAAGAGTGAAATCCAGTAAATGAAGGATACAGGTAAACAACAAGAATGGAAATAAAGATTTCTGTCTGACGCAATGTTTGACAAAAAAATGGGTCTGTATTCTTTTTTTAATCAGATGCACGTTAGCTGCTTATTAATGGTTCATTAGATTGATTTTCATCTGAATAAAAAAAACAATTTTAGTTAATAATTGAAATTTTGCAGTGACCCCTTCCTTTTTTTTAGTAATTTTTTTTTTTACATCCAAATAAGTGTTTTTTTTTTTTACTCTGTGAATAAAAAACTAAGTGTTGAGACAAGATACTAAATGGCTGCTTCCTATTTAAGAGAAATACTTGGACACCTTTTCAGACGTTGTGCTCCGTATCAGAACCGAAGAGACATTTGAGTGGGTATTTGTAGAACCAAACATAAAATTATTAATTCACACAGTTGAAATCTTATTCATACTTTCTAGTTCTCATAACAGAAACTTTAAGTCAAACACAGTCATTTTATTTTATTGTTACATTTAAATATCTGATTTTCAGTGTTCATGGGACCAAATCCATAGATCTACACTGGATACATTATTTTTTATACAGTGTATTGACTATATATATCTTTTAAAACTCAGCATTCATTAAAAAAATTATACATTTGAAAACAGCATGAATTAATTAATTTTGATACATGTGTAATTTTATTGTAACAGTCGTCACTGTCACTTCCTGTTTGAACTAGGTGAGCTAAATAAATCTCAGTGGAAGTCAACACATAAAGCTGTGTACAGTAGCACCTAGCTACTTTTGTGGACTCGCTCTTTCACGGGTTTACAAAGTAAGATTGAACATGACACACGACTGACTGATTGATGGATGAGTTGCACGAGCAGCATGGATTGTTTATTTAAAATAAATTATTTTAAATAATTTAGCACAGGTGCTGCAGCAGGAGGGAGATACTCCTGCACCTGTGTAGTGCACTTTTTTTATGTGTGCTGCATTAAGTGCTCCCTAGTCTCTGCCAGGTTGTCTGATCACCTCATGCCTGAAGTAATCCA